TAATAAATCTCTACATATTATCTGAATTATAGCAATGCGTTTGATATTCTCAACATCTGGAAAACCACAAAGGTTTCCATTTGATCAGAGACATTTATGACCGAAACACCTTTTTATGACTAAGGTAAAAGAAATTAGAAGGCCTTTGATTGAGTCAAAATCTTATCACTTCAGACTAAGACTTAAAACACGTTTGATTCTAATGACATTTTACTCTGAACAGAGATCCATTTTCAGATTCTTTAGAATAAACAAAAATCTATCTTCAGCTAAGGGTTTTGTAAAAATATCAGCCCACTGATGGTCTATATCTATGAATTTTAAAGATAGGATCTCTTTTTGAACACAGTCTCTAATAAAATGATGTTTGATTTCTATGTGTTTATCCCTAGAGTGTAAAATAAGATTCTTACTCAAGCAAATAGAAGCAATATCATCACAGAAGATAGGAATGTTACTCTCATAAATATGATAATCTTTCAGCAATATTATCATTTTTTGTTCTTTGAGTTATTTGACTTTGTTTGAGGACAAACAATGATTCAAGTTGGGGAGAGTTTGATAAGTGCAAAAGTGTAGTTATTTTTTATATACTTTCTGTTGCACTTATCGACTCTTTTTTGTTAATATCAGTTGAATAACCCTGATTTTCGTTGTAAATACACTTAGTTGCGTTTTGAGTATATATTGTATTGGTTGATTAGTTTTGTATATGTTTTGTAGGTATTTGAGCATGGTTGGAGCAATAAGGAATAATGCTCCAAGATGCATTTTTTGATCAATAAAGGAAGAAGGCTAAGATTGGAGTCCAAATGAAGTTATGCAAGGGAAGCAACAAAAGTTGCTGAACTGTCATGCGTCGCCTGGTAAAATTCCTGTCGTCAGGTGACAGTGGGGGAGAAGATCAATTTTGATGTTGCCTCTACCTTGCTTCGCGTCTAGGTCGCCAGGTGAAAATAAAGAGATTCGCTGGGCAAAGCAGTGTGTCGTTGGGCGACATTAGATATTTGTTTCAGTTGAGGACGTGGCGTAGTCTAGGCCAAGTATATAGAATCCATCACCCAGAGATGTGTTTGTGTCACCGGGCAATGCGTGTGGAACATAATTTCCTTATATTTTCCTTTTCATTTCATTTGGAGGGGAATGGTTTTGGGGGTGATTTTTATTCTCACAACTCCATCAACCTCATTTTTGTAGTTGATTAGCTTAGATAACAACGCTGAGGATTTGCTTATAGATGATTGGAGGTGGATTTCTCATTGACCGGAGCTCACAAATCGGTATATTTGTGGTTCATTTTCTCTTCTTCTTTATGTATTATTTATGCGTTGAATTTTTATATGTATTTACTTGGAACTCATGTATATTTGTCGCCCATGGAGTTATATTAAACTTGCTTTACAAATCTCTGTTGATTGTTGTCTTAGATTTTTGCTCTGTGTTAGGGATTTGAGTTGTTATAAACATATACTGCTTAGATTCTTATCTTGGATGATTATATGTTAGTTTCTGAACTTTATAGATAGATTTAAAGCTGGCATCTACTTGGGTATCAAAGCTTAATGCTTTTGTGTGGTTGTGTTGTGCTGAGAGATCGACAGTGAAATTACATAGTTGTCTTATGTGTTGTTGAGGAGGTAGAAAGATCATTTGCTTGGTGATACAGTCGATCTCTCAATTTGGGTTAGAAATGACTTAGGTTATGAGTGATATGTAGTGACATTGATGACTATTGTTAGGTTAAATGTAACTGGTCGGTAGATTTAAGTCTGTAATGAGTAGATTATATGCAGGCTTGATAAGTTCTTCCTTAGTTTTTTTTTACATTTATTTTCTATTGATACTTTTCTTTTCAACCCATTTATCCCTAAACTCATTAACAAATGATTTTTCGAATGGCGATTCAATAACAAATCTCTGTGGACACGATACAATATAACCTAAATATCACCCTGTAAATTAATAACTTACTTTTTGCTTGCCGCTTTACCGCAACAATAACCATAAAGAGATTTCTTTAGTTTAAAAACAAAGTCTAATTTCTTAGAATTTTCAAAGCCAGAAGGTTGTTTGATGTACACTTCTTCTGAAATATAATCATTCAGAAATGTACTCTTAACATCCATCTGATAAAGGATGATGTTATGATTTACAGAAAAAGAAAATAACAAACAAATAGCTTCTAACCCGGCGACTAGTACAAAGGTTTATATATAGGCTATCCCTTCTTGTTGACTATAGTCTTGTGCAACCAGTCATGCTTTATTTCTTACAAGTTCACCTTTCTCATTGAGTTTGTTTCTGAACACCCATCTGGTTTCGATGACATGGACACCTTTGGGTTTCTGAACGAGATCCCAAACACCATTCTCTGAGAATTGGTTGAGTTCTTCTTCTACAGCCAAAATCCAATCTTTATCTAGAAGAGCTTCCTCAATAGATGTAGGTTCTATTAAAGAAACTAAATCCAGAAGCACTTCATCAGAAGGTTTGAGAGTTGATCTTGTTCTGACTAGAGCATATTTACTTCCAAGAATGAGATCTTCAGGATGGGATGATGTGATTATGCTTTTCCTTTGTTGAGGTTGATCAGAAGAGATAACAGTAGTATCAAAAGTAGAAGCACAAATATTTTGATCTTTTATTATCATAACATCCATCTGTTTTTCAAGCTCCCTTTGAATAAAAGCTTAATTTTCAGAAGATCAATATTTCATGAACTTCTGAGAAGTTATGTGCTTGAGAAAATTAACTAACATTTCCTAGCATCTTCTGAATTTTTGATTCCTTGAACAAATTACAAAATCTGTTCTAATACAAGTATCATCAAACTTTGACGATTTTGAATGACAATCTTGTTCTTGCAATGTTGAGATAACTTGTTTAGAGTTAGTCTATCAAGACATGTCAGCATACCCGCTTCAGAGTAAATGAATTTTGTCTTTGCATCTTTTAAAGCATTTTCCATTCAAGAATTCATATATCAAGAACTTATGAGGGAAAAATTAAATAACATTTTGATAGATTAAAGTTTGTTCAACTGAGATAAATTCTCGAATTATCAGAACTTGATTGTCTATATTAGTACTCAGAGGATCTGGCATATTTTGAACTACACCTTTGATTATATTCCTGATGAATCAATAAGCTTCCTTTTCTAAGCAGTTTTCAGATTTCTATGAAGCTTTCAAAAGGAAACAATATTCAGAATTTCTACATTAGATCTTCTACCTGCTTGATTAATTAGGCTAAAGATGTTATGACTCAAAGAAATTATTTCTTATAGATTTGAATTTCTCTGTTCAAGATTTCTGACGTTTTTCTGCAGACTTCATCATGAAGTTCCCATGAATCAAAATCAGAAGACAACAATCTTTCTTCTTTACTTGAAGAAATTCCTAATGAGATTTTTATGAGAAATTCAAGGGTGGACTAATCTGTTTCTTGAAAACATCTCATACTTATAAAGAATTAATCTTCAGCAAGCAAGATTTCTTGTTTTCTAATGATTTGATCTTTGAGAAAATACATTGTTCATCTAATCATAATTTTTTTTAACAAAAGCATTCAATATATATTATTTCTTATCCGATGAATCTGTCTTGTCAGCTGATTCTTCAATCTTCTTTTATTTCCAGAATTATGTCTTTGTCTAGAAGAGCTTCATCAGAAGAGGTTGGCTAAATCAAGGACACCAAACCCAGAAGCATTTCTTCAGGAGGTTTGAAATCTTATTTGGTTATGACAAGAGCTTCTTTATCTCCCAAAATCAATTCTTCAGAAAGAGAGATTGAGATTCTTCTTTTCGTCTTGTCGAATTAGAAGGAACAATAACTGCATCTGAATCGAGAGCTTCTAATGCTATGACTTCTGGTATCTTCTTCTTGGGTTCTGAATAGGTTATCTCCAATAGAGAACATTTTGTTATTGACATCTTCAGTTTTCGAAGAATCAGAGACTTGCTCAAGGTAATCCATTTGGTTACAATTTAATATTCAATCATCATCTTTTAATATGAGTCTGCAATTGAAGGTGGAGTAACTATCACCCAGAGTATTTCTTCACATTGCATTTGGATCTTTATCTGGCACTGTTAGGTGTTTGATATCCATCAATAACAAAACCGAGCTCTGATACCATGTAAACTGGATCAAACGCATACAACTAGAATGAGAAGTGAAAAGAGAATGAGAACTACAAAATAGATGAATAGCAAAGATTGATTCAAACGATAAACTGTTGATGTCTAATAAGAGAATGGACTGAGGTGAAAAATTTGAAAATTTAGGTTGGAAGCTTGTAAAAGGGAGTAATGCATCGTCTAATTTAAATTTGACGTAGTGATAAAAAATGTAAAATTGAATTATACATTTTTAATCATTTAATTAAATTAAGATCAAATGGTCAATGATAGATTGAGAGTGTGGATGCATGATTAAAGAAGGTGCACCGAAACAAAATCAAATGGAATAATACGACAACATATGACTTCAAAAGGGGTTTTTCAGTGTGGCTTAAGAAGGGGTATTTTAGTTATTTCATTTTTCTTCAACTTTCTAAAATTATTAATATATAAGTAATATTTTTAACACAATAATAATAGGATGATAAGGAATTTTTTTGTTGTTGTGAAAATTGTTTTGAGAGAGAAAAAGTATATGCTATTTATGAACAGTATATCTCCCAAAAAGTGAGTGTAATCTCAATCTCTCCTAATAATAAACCAGGATAATAATTGGACATTCTCGAGTAGAGAGATATAAACGCCATCGCTTCTCTATAAATAGCTCATAGGTGACCAAACTTGCTTCCATTTAACACTGATAACTCGCTAACACCAATCCAGTGTTTGCATCAACATTATTCTCAGCAACACTGAGTCGAGTCACTGTTTTTTTTTCAGTAGGGTTTTTCTCTATCTTTTTTCCACAACAGAAAACGATTTTCTGTTATAGAGAGAGAAACTTAAGAGAGTTAGAGAGAGAGATAATTCATTATTCATGGATGCGCACGCGGTGCATTTGGCCATGGCGGCACTCGTCGGAGCCTCCATCGTAGCTGTATCGGCGTACTACATGCACCGCAAGACGCTAACGCAGCTACTGGAGTTCGCGCGTACGGTTGAACCGGAAGGTGGCACCGACGACGGCGATTCACCGTTGCATTCGAATAGGAGGCGTGGAGGCTCTAAGAGGAGAGGGAACGGAGGTTATCGCCGTGGCTCGGGTTCGTTGCCGGATGTTACGGCGATTTCTGGTGGACTTGACGGAAATGGAAATGGACTGATGCACGTTGAAGGGATTCCGGCTGGATTGCCTCGATTGCAAACGCTCCGGGAAGGTAGTTTACTCACTTGCACATTTTCAGATGATATGAGTTTTGATGATGTTGAGTTATGTGATTGATTATTTTAGTTGAGCTATAATTTTGCAATTTATTGGTGGTTAATTGGTTCAGTAGTGTGTTAACTTCTCCTTGCTTGATGTATGTAGCTTCGATTTTGTATAAAGTAGATACTACTTTTTTAGGTAAAGAAATGTGACTTTTCTCCATTTTAGCAGTGGTTTTCAGTAACAGTTCTAATCATGTTTGTGATGGTTGATGTTGTGGAGAATCAATGTCAAATAAGGTTGATGTGGCCTCAATCTGCATCATCAAAACCTCTTGATTGGTGTATGCTGCTTCGATAGTGTATAAAGTAGATGCTTTTTTTAGATAAATGAATGTGACTTTTCTCCATTTTAGCAGTGGTTTTTGGTAACAGTTCCAGTCGTGTTTGTGATAGTTGATGTTGTGGAGAATAACTGTCAAATAAGGTTGATGTGGCCTCAACCTGCGACATCAAAACTGTTATGTTGCAGCCAGATGGCTTTCACCGACTTTTATTTCAAACCCAGCATTTTAGTGTTATTGGGGGCATTTGAATTGAAGTCAATTCTCAATGAATTGCAAAGGAATTGTTGCTCCATTGATGGTGTTTTCCCCCCTTCGAACACGTCCCCCCACATATTTTTATAGTATATTTTATTTTTACCAATAATTATGTCTGAAAAGTTTCCATGATAGAGGAAAAGATTATAAACATTGGTCTGGTTTCTTGTATGTATTTTATTGATCAAGATATGCTTACCTGCAAAGAAAAGAAAGAATTAGTCGTGATGATGATTTCTGGTTTGTAGATGGTCTCCATAACAAATTAGAAATATAAATTTTACAGAACTGTTTTTCTTTGTATATTTTTACCACCAACAATTATAGAAATCATGTAAGAAATTATTCATGTAATTTAAGTAATGAGATTATTTTAAAATCGTTTATTGTTTCTTATGGATTGTTGGAGGTAGAGTGATGGTTAATTGTAAGTGTAGCTTGTAAATACATCTTCTCTACCTCTCTGGTTTTGTTACAGACATATTATGATTTAGCATCTGAGCAAAAAGTTGCTCACTAAAAATGTACAAAAGTAATAGGCCCAGCAGGCCCCATGGGCAGTAACATAGAAATCGCTTAGTAACTTTGAGTAAAACAGGATGTTTGAGAGAAAAAGTACAAGCGAATAAAATGAAACATCAAAACAATGAGAAGACTGAAAAAGCTTATTCTATTTCAATAATTGCTCTTGGTGGATCAATCTTCCTGGACCAACATTCTTCTGCCAGCCCAGCTGGAATTCAACTATACTTCTATTTGGGAGAATATTGTTTTCTTTAAGCTATGTTAATTGTTACTAATATGCCCCCGTGTTCGTAGAAGTTAAATATACTTCTGATTCTTTCATTTTTTTAACTGTGAAGGTGCTAGGATAAAATTGTAGTAGAGTAGCATCACATATGGCTTTGGAGGTTAAGGGTGGGGAAGGATTGAAAATCATTCATGTTAGATTACTGTCGCTTTTGCCTTATAGTATACTACATCTTTCTTGATACAACACCTTCATAAATGCATGAGCTGTCTAACTGAAAGTGTTAACTCGGTACTTTTATCTTACAGGAAAATCTGCAAATACTGGTTCATTTAAGAGAAATATTTTAAGACCAACTTCTCCCAAGTCTCCTGTTGCAAGTGCCAGTGCCTTTGAAAGTGTAGAGGGATCAGATGATGAAGATGATTTGATAGACGGAGCCAAACTGGATGCTACATATCTGCACACAAATGGAAATGCAGTAAGTTGTAATGCCCCATCAAATGACGTTTACCATTCATTTTATATTCTATATATAAAGAAAGCTTACTCTTGAGATGATAAGTAATTGCCCCAATCGTTCTTTCTCCCATCTTTTATAATACTTCACCTCCCCTAGGCTTGCAATTTTAGCATTTTTGCCGTTAATATTTAGCCATGCTTCAATCATCACATAATGCAATTTTCTCTATTCGCTTCTGATATTGAATTTGAAATCATCTGTGTGCAGGGTGGAGATGGGAAAAATCCATACGAGACTGTGTCTAATCATGTCAATACTAATGGAGAGCAGATGGCAATCACTGCTTCAAGTATGAACCGTTCTAAAAGTATTTCTGGTGATCTGCATGGTGTGCAGCCTGATCCAATAGCAGCTGACATTCTGAGGAAAGAGCCAGAGCAAGAAATTTTTGCTCGATTGAGAATTACTCCTATGGGTATGAACTGTCTGATATTGGTCATTCTCATTTCTCTAAATGCAAATATATTTCTCGGAATGGTTTTCTCATGGCATGCATGAAATCCACTTCCTGCAAACAACTTTTTTTTGCTGAAAACAGTTGCAATTTTAGAAAACATTTTAGCAAACACTGATTTAAAATTTTTCTGTATAGAGGCCCCGTCGCCTGATGAAGTTGAATCCTATGTGATTCTTCAAGAATGTCTTGAAATGAGGAAAAGATATGTTTTTCAAGAAGCAGTTGCTCCATGGGAGAAAGAAGTCATATCTGACCCCTGTACTCCAAAACCTAACCTAGATCCCTTCTTTTACAGATCTGAAGCAAAGTCTGATGTGAGTTATGTTATTTATTTTTATATTTTCCACCTGATAAAAGTTGGACCTCCTCATTTTATTTTTCCTGCAATTAAACAACTATTATCTCTGTTGTGCCACAGCATTACTTTGAAATGCAGGATGGAGTTATTCATGTGTATCCAAATAGAAACTGTAAGTTAATGAGATAGTTTGTAAATTTTGAGGTTGTTGCTGTAGCTGGACTTATATGCATGCTTGCCTATTACTTGCAGCCAAAGAAGAGCTTTTTCCTGTTGCCGATGCAACTACATTTTTCACTGACCTTCATCAGATACTTCGAGTTATAGCAGCAGGGAATATCAGAACTTTATGCCACCACAGGCTTAATCTTCTAGAACAAGTAAATACATGTCTAAACTACTGAATATAAGAAATATTCTGCAGCTTATGTTTGTGTTCTAGTTACAGATAAGAACTTGTGTGTGTATTCAGAAATTCAATCTTCATTTGATGCTCAATGCGGATAGGGAATTTCTCGCCCAGAAAAGTGCCCCACATCGAGACTTCTATAATGTTAGAAAAGTGGATACACATGTCCACCACTCAGCATGCATGAATCAGAAACATCTTTTGAGATTCATAAAGTCAAAGCTGAGGAAAGAGCCTGATGAGGTGATTGATTAAAATTGTTTGGCCCTGCGCTATACCATTACTTTGCAGTAACCTTTTAATTATTTTTTCTTGGACGTCTACAATGGACCGTAAGGAGGAAGATAATCACAAATCACTTGTTTTTAAGACGTAAACCTTTGCATTCTGTCATTAAATGCTAAAATAAATATCATATGCATTGAGTTATATCTTAGGAAGTGACATGAATTGAATACTGATGTTCATTTGAACATTCTTCAGGTTGTAATATTTCGAGATGGAACATATTTGACATTGAAAGAGGTTTTTGAGAGTCTAGATTTAACTGGGTAATGAACTTCTATAATTTAAATTGTTGCTATAATTGTGCTGGAAATAAATTTAAACTTTCATAATAAATATTTTTTCGAACTTCTTTTAACAGATACGATCTCAATGTTGACCTTTTGGACGTTCATGCTGACAAAAGTACATTTCATCGCTTTGACAAGTTCAATCTTAAATACAATCCTTGTGGTCAAAGTAGGCTCAGGGAGATATTTTTGAAGCAGGACAACCTCATCCAAGGTATTTTTTTTTTGGTACGACACATTTGAGTCATTACAAACACGTGCTTGCTTTTAACCACAGCCATTGTGGCACAAATAAAGCAGAGGCTAAGTTCTGCTTCAAAGTCTCCAAGAAGGTTTTTTGTTTCATGTTAAAATTCAAGAGATATAAACTATATATATGAAAACGTCATGACCTTTGAAACCAATCATCTCATCTCCTTTCACTCACCAAACCTTGTATATTTTATGCGCATACACGAGTGTGTCAATCTGCATTGGTATTTGGGAAAAAAATATTTTAGGGGAATAATTGTCCAAAATAAGTGTTTGGTTCTCAATGGAACGCTGGATTTGATACAATATGCAGAGCTGCCTGATTGTCACAAATAAGTGTCATCTGTGAAACATCTCCGAATCTCAGGTCGTGAAGCAATTGTTCAAGCTATATAAGCTCAAAGGTTGTTGTTGCCATGACTCGATATTCTATTTCCGCACTTGACCTTGCCACTACACTTTGTTTCTTACTCTTCCAGGAAATTAAGTTACCACCCAAGAAAACACAATAACCTGAGGTGGATCTCCTATCAGAAGGAGAACCTGCCCAATCTGCATCTGAGTATCCTACAACTCGAGTGTGTCCCTTGCCTTCATAGAGTAAGCCTTTTCCTGGAGCTCCTTTAATATATTTCAAGATGCGAATCACAGCTTCCCAATGCCCTTCACAAGGAGAGTTAAGAAGTTGACTTACCACACTAACAAGAAATGAAATATCTGGGCGAGTAACAGTGAGGTAATTCAATTTTCAAACTAATCTTCTATATTTTCCAGGATCGGAGAGTGGCTCCCCCTCAGCTGGCATAAGTTTAGCATTGAGATCCATCGGAGTGTCAACTGGCTTGGAATTTAACAGTCCTGTCTCCTCCAAAATATCCATAGCATACTTCTTTTGTTAAATCACAATCCCCCGTTTGGATTGGACAATCTCTATGTCCAAGAAATAACGAAGTCTGCCGAGGTCTTTTGTCTGGAAATGATGACAAAGGTGTTGTTTTACCTGTGTGATTCCATGATGATCATTACCTGTAATGACAATGTCGTCCACATACACAATTAAATAAATACACCCAACAACTGAGTGACGATAAAACACTGAATGATCAGCTTCACATCGCGTCATATCAAACTCTTGAATAACAGTGCTAAATCTCTCAAACCAAGCCCTAGGAGATTGCTTAAGTCCATACAAAGACTTATGAAGACGACAAACTAGTCCAAAAGACTTCCCCTGAGCAACAAACCCAGGAGGTTGCTCCATATAAACTTCCTCACACAAATCACCATGGAGGAATGCGTTCTTGATGTTAAGCTGGTAAAGGGGCCAGTGGCGAATAGCTGCCATAGAGAGAAATAATCGAACCGAGGCCATTTTAGCCACGGGAGTGAAGGTGTCACCATAATCTAGGCCAAACAGCTGTGTATAACCTTTGGCCACTAAACGTGCCTTGAGACGATCAACTTGTCCATCAGGCCCAACTTTGACTATGAAAACCCACCTGCAACCTACAACAGATTTCTCAAGAGGAAGAGGAACAAGGTCCCACGTGCCACTGTTCTGAAGAGCGCACATCTCATCAAGCATACCTTGTTTCCAGCCAGGGTGAAATAAAGCATCACCTACAGTCTTGGGAATAGACACAAAAGACAAAGAGGAAATACAAGCATAATGCAAAGAAGACAAGCGATGATAAGACAAATTAACATAATGAGGAGATGGATTACGAGTGGAACGTATATCTTTGCGAAGTGCAATTGGGAGATCAGTCTCAGGGGGCAGGACCAGAGGGGACGAAGGAGTTGGATCCGGAGGGGAGTCTATGGTGATTTCTGCATTAGTTGATGGTAGTGGAGGTGGTCGTGGTCGACGCCGATAAACCTGCAAAGGAGCTAATGAGGGTGGATTGGCTGACAAAGGAGACAGAACTACGTTTGGTGGGGCAGTAGTGGGAGATGAAGAAAACATGGGTGATAGGGACTCAGACCCTGTAGACGTCCCAAAGTAAGGGACTGACTCAAAGAATGTGACATCAGCAGAGACGAAATATCGACGAAGAGACGAGGAGTAACATTTATATCCCTTTTGGGATCTTGTATAGCCTAAGAACACACACTTATGAGAACGAGCTGAGAGTTTGTCTAGCCCAGGACTAACATTATGGACAAAACATGTAGACCCAAAGACTCTAGGCTGTAATGGGTGAAGAGACTGGTGATGAAATAGAATAGAGTGAGGGATATGATTGTTGAGGACAGATGATGGCATCCTATTTATGAGATAACAAGCCGTAAGGACAACATCACCCCAAAAATGTTGAGGAACATTATTGTGAAGTAAGAGTGTCCTAGTGGTTTCAACTAGGTGTCTATTTTTACGTTCAGCGACTCTATTTTGTTATGGTGTGTGAGCACAAGACGTTTGATGAAGCATACCGTTAGTAGCCATGAAAGTTTGAAATTGAGTAGATAAATATTCTCGAGCATTGTCACTGTGCAAAGTACTAATGGATATAACAAACTGATTTTTGATTTCATTATAAAATGTTTGAAAAATAGCAAATAACTCCGATCGATTTTCCATTAAAAATAACCAGGTACATCGAGAATAATCATCAATGAAGGTAACAAAATACTTAGACCCTAAAGTGGAAACAATGCGACTAGGACCCCAAACATCCGAATGAACTAGAGCAAACGGAGACTTAGAACGACGATTGACACGACTCGGAAAAGAACTACGAACATGTTTTCCTAATTGACAAGACTCACAAGACAACGTAGATAACTTGGAAAGGTTGGGCACCAACTTTTGTAACTTTGCAAGACTTGGATGTCCTAACTGAGCATGAACCAGGAGGGGAGAATCCACCACAGAACCAACATGTGCAGATGGTTGAAGAAGATAAAGACCATTAGACTCACATCCGGTGCTAATCATCCGTCTCGAACTCTGGTCCTGCAAGAAAAAAGAATCTTTGGTGAATGAGATAGTACAATCAAGAGATCGAGTCAAACGACTTAGAGACAATAAGTTAAACGAAGATCCGGGTACATAAAGAACATTAGTAATGGAGAGCGAGGGAAAAAGGTGGATAATACCAGTACCCTGAGATTGAGTTTGGGAGCCATTTGCTAATGTGACAAAGGGTAATAAACCAGAAGTAGAGAATGAAGAAAAAAGAGATTTATTACCAGTAATGTGATCAGTGGCGCCTGAATTAAGGATCCATGGGCCAAGAGATGTGGAGTGAGAAAGACCAGCAAAAGAATTACCCGTGTGCGCAACAGAGACAGTGGAACTAGCAGTCTGACGCTCCTCATACCACTTGATAAAGTCGTTGAAGATAGCAGGTGAGGTGGCAGAATCAGTCGGAGTAGCAGCCTGTGGAGGTGGAGCGGTCTGGGCAACGTGGGCAGTCCGAGGAGAGGGACGTCCATGTAAAGCATAACACCGATCAATAGTGTGGCCAAACTTATGACAATTATCACACTTAGGACGAGGCTTTCCTGTCTTCTGAAAGTGGCCACGATCACCGGCCAGAGCACGATTACCTCCTTGAGAAACCAAAGCAGATGAATCAACTGGTGTGGGTGGGACTCCGTCGTCAAATGATGGTTTTGCTGGGACACGCAGTAAAGTAGACCATGTGTAAAACCCCAATTCTACCCGACAATTATATAAATAAATCAGAGTTATAAAATCATTCATGCAAACGAATCGGGATGTCACAAATTCATCTTTCAAAACACATTGCATTCATCGTGCATACGTAACACTTTAAAACATCAGATGAACCATCATCATAACAACTTTAATTAATTAATTCAACAATTCAACATCTACGCAGCGGAATTCTTAATAGCATCTTTATCATCATTACAACAACTTCAAAACAACACATATTTAGTAACAATCAACTTAAAGTTCAACGACTAAATAATCAACAATCAAAAGCAACAAGCGTTCATCCCCTAGTGTTACATATCAGAGCAATGACACCGATTCGAACTACTGAAGGTATACAACATTCACTCTCGATTACCTGCACGTTACTAACGTAAGGGGAACATTCAAACAGAAGGGGTGAGATATTTAACAATATAATGAAGCGTATGATAATTAATATATTAAATTAGATCACATAACATCACCACTTCTCATCTCATAATGAACAATAATCACAACAATAATACACATTCACAACATCAATACACACTTCTTTATGCAATCATATAATGCGACTCAATACTATGCAAATGCATGTGGTACCATTGGAGCAGAACTCCCATCTCAAAAATTGCCAATTAATAGAGGCATCAACAAAGCATAAACCTTCATCTCAATATTCGCCAATACAGGTCATCTCAACGAGCATAAGCTCCATCTCAAAATGCAATGTATGCGACACAATCATGAATGTAATAACAACACCATAATTGACAACATCTCAATACCACATCATCGTTGGCCAAAGACCTACATCTTAAAAGTATCTCAACATCTCTTCATCAACGTCGTTTATCATCATAAATCATCAGACCTCGTTTATACATCATAATTCATCAAAACAAACTCTCATTAACACCATCTCATCAACAACTCAGATGTACAGTAATACGACAATACTCATCATTTTTCACAACGTTGGCCATAGGCCTACAACAAGACATTGCCTATAATTAGTTAATCAACTAAGGCTTACTTCTAAATCACCAAACTTCTACATACTACTATCCTGTAATATTACATCGTTATTATCATTAATCCTACTGTTACAAATCAAACAGCAGCCTATAAGCATCTCATCTTCATCATTCTGCATAAAAACCAACATAGCGATCTACACGGTAACTAATTCAAATCTTATGGTTATCCTTCCTATTCCTCATTTTAATCCTTAAGAATAAAGCTCATCGCGTTAGCTATTCAACGTTTCGAACGGCACCTCAAACGGCATCCAA